TAACTTTTTTACTTATAAACTTTTTAATTTTTAAAATCTTTTGAACTCTTGTGTGGTAAAACTTTGCTTAAGATACACACACATTGTACCAACTGTAAGAACGTTTTCTTTATGTCCTTATTCTATAAGCTTTTTTCAATTAAATGTTTCTTAACCTTTTTGTTAAAAACTGCAACACAAACATACCATTAGTCTAGGCCTACACAGAGTCAGGATTATCAGTATCACTGTCTTTCATCTCCACATCTTGTCCCATTGTAAGGTCTTTGGGGGCAATGACACACATGGAACTGTCATCTCCTGTGATAATAATGCCCTTTTCTAGAATACCTCCTGAAGGATCTGCCTAAGGCTGTTTTACAGTTAATTTTTTTTATAAGTAGGAATATACTTTAAAATAATGATGAAAAGATTGTAAATACATAAACCAGTAACATCGTCTTTTATTATCAAGTATTGTTTATTGTACACAATTGTATCTATTATACTTTCATATAACTGGCCGTGCAGTAGGATTGTTTACAGTACTATCACCACAAACATATGAGCAATATTTTATGCTATCATGTTATGACAGCTACAGTGTTACTAGACAATAGGAATTTTTGAACTGCATTATAATCTTATGAGACCACCATCATATATAGTTTGTTGTTGACCAAAACGTTTTATGGTGCTTGACTGTATTTTATTTCCTAACAACCACTATTCTCTTTTTTACTCTATACTATCCCCACACTTTACCACCTTTCCCTTATATTCCTTCACCTACTTGGCAAAGAAAATGGATCTCTCTGACATGGATTCCCTCAGCACCTTACCTTCATATCTACAACTCTTTTTGCACCCACATATGTCTTTACCTCCTTTCTTTCCAGCCTAGTGCGAGAGTTATTTTCGTTGAGCTAATATTTTCACTTGTGCTCTATATCCTGTTCTCTACTTCCTCAGAGGCCTTGTATTTCTCCTCCATCTCAGATTCGTTGTCATCAACATATATGTAAACATGTTTAGATGTGTCATTTTTAATAGCAGAATATCGATCACTCTCACTCTACCTGAGGATTCATTTTCTTTCTCTCTCTCTTTTTTTTTTTTTAACCAGTTGTCTATTTTCTCTGCTCCTATTCACTCTTCAGTCCCCTGTAATCTGACCTCTGTACTCCTTATTCCTTAGAACTGTCCTTGCCATGGTCACCAACGACTTTTGCTTTTGTAGTGGATGCTTTTTAGTGACTGCCGTGGTATTTCTTTTTCCTTTCTAAAATGTTCTTTTTCATTGGTTTCCATGAGACCACTTTCTTTATTTTCATCCTTTGCCTGTTCCTTTACAGTTTCCTTTGCACAGTTTGAAAGCACAGTTTAGTAGAAACAGTTGAGTTAATGCAAATCAGTGTGGTATAAGGAGGAATCTCTGGTTTAGCCTGGATAACTAGTTAGGTCTTTATCATTTACTAGCACACAGACATTTGCTAAAGATTAGACAGAGGAAAACTAAAATTATATTTTCTGTCAAGAATTTGGGATGAAGATGTTTTATGTTGCCAGTTATATATAGTTTCACATATGTTGACAGGGTTAGAGTTAAGGCTCTCTTAAGGAAATGAAGAATTGCGCCTGATGAACAACCCACACAATGGCAGAAAATGTTCACAAACTGTGCATCTGACAAAAGTCTAATATACAGAATCTATAAAGAATTTAGTCGGGCACGGCGGCCTACACCTATAATCCCAGCACTTTGGTAGGCCGAGGCGGGCAGATCACAAGGTCAGGAGATCGAGACCATCCTGGCCAACATGGTGAAACCCTGTCTCTACCAAATACAAAAAAATTAGCTAGGTGCGGTGGTCCATGCCTGTAGTCCCAGCTGCTTGGGAGGCTGAGGCAGGGGAATTGCTTGAACCCGGGAGGCGGAGGTTGCAGTGAGCCAAGATCACGCCACTGCACTCTAGCCTGGCACCCGGTGACAGAGTGAGACTCTGTCTCAAAAAAAAAAAAAAAAAAAAAAGAATTTAAACAATTCAACAAGCAAAAAACAACCGCAATAAAAAGCGGACAGTCCAGGTGGGATGGCTCTTACCTGTAATCCCAGTATTTTGGAAGGCTGAGGCGGGCAGATCACAAGGTCAGGAGATCGAGACTATCCTGGCTAACAAGCTGAAATCCCATCTCTACTAAAAATAAAAAATATTAGCTGGGTGTGGTGGCATGCACCCGTAGTTCCAACTATTTGGGAGACTGAGGCAGGAGAATCATTTGAACCCAGGAGGCAGAAGTTGTAGTGAGCCAAGATCATACCACACCGCACTCTAGCCTGGGCAACAGAGTGAGACTCCATCTCAAAAAAAAAAAAAAAAAAGTGGGCGAAACACACGAACGTAGACACCTCTCCGAAGAAGATATCCAGGCAGCCAACAAACATGAAAAAATTCTCATCATCACTAATCATCAGAGAGAGACGAATCAAAACCGCAGTGATACACCATCGCACATTAATCAGATTGGCTATTATTAAAAAGTCAAAAAATAATGGATGCTGTTGAGGCTGTGGAGAAAAGGGAATGCTTATACACCCTTGGTGGGAAAGTAGTTTAGCCACTGTGAAAAGCAGTTTGGAGATTTGTCCAAGAACTTTGAAAGAGAACTACCATTCTACTCAGTGATCTCATTACCGAGTATATATCCAAAAGAAAACAAATCTGCTAAAAAGACACATGCACTTGTATGTTCATTGCAGCATTGTGCACAATAGCAAAGACATGGACTCATCCCAGGGGCCCATCAGTGGTGGATTGTATTAAGATAATGTGGTACGTAGGTACTATGTAATACTACACAGCCATAAAAAAGAATGAGATCGACTGGGCATGGTGGCTCACACCTGTAATCCCAACACTTTGGGAGGGTGAGGTGGGTGGATCATGAGGTCAGGAGTTCGAGACCAGCCTGACCAACATGGTGAAACCACATCTCTACTAAAAATACAAAAAATTAGCCAGGCATGGTGACGCATGCCTGTAATCCCAGCTACTCAGGAGGCTGAGGCAGGAGAAGTTCTTGAACCTGGGAGCTGGAGGTTGCAGTGAGCCGAGATTGTGCCACTACACTCCAGCCTGGGCGACAGAGTGAGACTCTGTCTCAAAAAAATAAAAATAAAAAAAGAATGAAATCCTGTCCTTTGCAGCAACATGGAGGCAGCTGGAGACCAGTATCGTGAGTGAATTAATGCAGGAACAGAAAACCAAATACCTCATGTTCTCAGTTATGAGTTGGAGCTAAACATTGGATACTCGTGGTTATACGATGGCAACAATAGACACTGAAGACTAGTAGAGCCAGGTGGGAGGGAGAGGGGCAAGAGTTGAAAAACTTAATTGTTGGGTTCTATGCTCACTGTCTGGGTGACAGCATCAATTGTGCCCCAAACTTCAGCATCATGACATATATGCATGTAATCTACATATATACCCCCTGAATATAAAAGTTGAAATTATAAAAAACAGTCTGTTGTAACTAATGAGAAACAGCTCCTGGCATATCCATTCTCCCATTGCCTAGCAGCTGTCCTGTCATTTATATTGTGTTTGGTTCACCAGATAGTTGTCACTCAGTTTGTTTTCTCTTTCCCTTCTTCTTTACCTTACCCACCCCATTAATCTTTTAAATTGTGGAATGTAATGCATATATAAAAGTGCATAAAACAAATGTGATGTACTGTTTAAATATATATTGTAAAGTAAAGATCCGTGTCAGCACTATCTGGTCAAAACATAGAACATAGTCATTGCCTATGTTCACCTAGTATGTCCCTTTTCTGGTTACACTTTTCCCTCTACCTTACTCTAGAAGTAATTACTCTCCAAACTCTTGAGGCCATTACTTACTTTGTTTTCTTTATAGTTTTAAAAACTAAGTATGAACCCCTAGACAAACATTACCCATTTTTAACCTCTATGTAAGTGGAAAAATACAGTAGCTATCTGTGTGTGTGTGTGAGGCATTCTCTGACATCTTTTGCTTGTGGTCTATTTTTGCCTATAGCTGAAATTCATTCATTGTGATAAATTTTTCTGGAGTAGAATTGCTGGGAACAACTTCATTTCTATTGGGATTTGTTTGTTTAGTACATACGTATAAATTTTTAAAAACCTGTTTTCTAAAGAGATTGTGCCAATTTATTTTTTATTTTTATTTTTTGAAATAGGGTCTTCTGTCACCTATGGTGGAGTACAGGGGCATGATGACAGCTTGCTATAGTCCTGACCTTCCAGGTTCAAGTGATCCTCCTACTGCATCATCTCAAGAAGCTAGGACTACAGATGCGTGCTGTCATGCCTGACTAATTTTTTAACTTTTTGTAGAGATGGGGGTCTCACTCTGTTGTCCAGGTTGATCTTGAACTCCTGGGCTCAAGTGATCCTCCTACCTTGGACTCCTAAAGTGCTGGGATTACAGGTGTGAGCCACTGCTCCCAGGAGTTTATATTCATACCAGCAGCATATGAGCATTTTCACTATACTTGATTGTGCTCCACATTTTTTTTTTTTGCTTTTTTTTTTTTTTGTCTTGTAAGGCCTTTGCTGTTATTTAAACTGAAAACTGTTTTATTTTTCACTTTTCCATGTTGGAGAAATAGTAACAAAACTACTTAAAAATATGGGTTAACCTTATTGTGTCATCTTGGTCCATGACATGAAATCAATACGTATTTTCATTATGTTAAATATACTCATGTATATTTATTAAGTTAATGCTTTTAAAAATCATAGGGTAACTATTTTATATATACTAAGTCATAGTTGCTACTGTTATTTTTAAATAAAAATAATTTTGTTTTGCCTTTATTTTTACTCTTAAGTTTTCAGCCATGAACTGGTGATATTTTGTATAAAGATAAAATAATACAATTTTGGGCTTTATTATATAGGTTTAGTTCTAAGAATGTATATGGAATATTTATTAAAATAACTCTAATGAATCTTTACTTTTCTTTCAAGTTGGCCTTTACCAGAGTTTGATCCAAGCCAGATTCGACTGATTGTATATCAAGACTGTGAAAGACGAGGGAGAAATGTCTTGTTTGACTCCAGTGTTAAGAGAAAAAATGAGGACATATCAGTATCGGTGAGCATCATTCTTCATTTGGTTGACTTTTGGTGTCGAATGTTTTGATAATTCCAGAATTATCAAGCTAAATAATTGGGGCTGAAGGAGAAGGAAATGACTGGATGTTGGGGCTAAGGGATAATGAAATGTTTGGTGAATCTAACATTTTGATTTGAATAGCTGAGGAGTGGTTTGATGCTTAAGAGTCATAGAATTGGAGATGGTCAAGCAGACAGTTAAAATCCAAGGCTAATCACAAATGTGATAAGCATGTTTTCTTTGTATTTAGACTGCTAACAACAGCTTAGCAGAACTTGTCTGAGACTGATTTATTTATTTGTTTGTTTGTTTTTAAAACTTATCTCTTATTTTTTACTTTTTCAGCAGACATTTATTCAAGTTTTGCTTTTTTTTTGTATTTGATCGTATCCTATTGAATTTCAGCATATAACCTAACTTTTAATCTTAATTTTGATTAATGCGGTTCATTGTGTGTTTCTTCAGTTGCTGCTTTTTTATGTTAAACCACCCTGTAAGAATCAACTCATGCTGTTTTTTGAACTCTCCCTGCATGCCTTTTCTGGGATGATGCTTCATTAGTCTCATTAATTTCTCTCCTGCTGATGTCTTTCTTTTTCCCTCTCAGCTTTTCTCTTTGCTTGGAAACATTCACAATGCCTCTTTACCCAACACCCACAAAATAATTATTTTTTACTTTTTCCTTCAGGTTTGTGTGTGTTTAGTTCAGGCTACTGTAACAAAATACTGTATACTGCATGCCTTAAACAAGATACTTTTATTTCTCCCAGCATATTTGGGATAAATAAAAGAAATACTTTTATTTCTCCTAGATTTCTTCTGGGCTGCAGACTGCTGACTTCTCACTCTACCCTCACATGGTAGAAAGAAGGGGAGATAACTCTTCATAGTCCCTTTTATAAGGGCACCAACCCCGTTCATGAGTACTTCACTCTTATGACCTAATTATCTCCTAAAGTTCCCACCTCCTCGTGTCATATGGTGGGTTAGGACAACATACAAATTTTGAGGAGACACAAGTATTCAGTCCATAACAGTGTTCTCTCTCTTTTCCCATGCCTGGCCCCTTTGTCCCTCTCAGTCATCTTTCTTGGTGTCTGTTGGTATCTCTTATTCTCCCTTTATCTCTCTATTACTCAGGCTTTCTAGAGTGTTTCTTCTCAGTCTATCTCTTGATCTCTCCTTGGTCTGTTTTAGTCTCTGTCTCTTGGTGTTTCAGTGGTAATATATTGACTCTCTTCTCAAACTATTCAGTTATTACTCAACTTTCTGAAATTTGCCTATAAGCCTACCCTTCTTTTCATTATAAAACTTTTCTGGAAACTCATCAGTGTCTAGAAATCAAACATTCCTGACTACTTTCAGTCCCACTTATTTTATTATGCCTTTACTGTATATACTCTCTCTCTTAATTGAAAATTTATCCTCCTTCAGGGTTTATTTTATCACAACTTTATGAATCATTTCTGATTTTCTCTAGGTATATTTATTTTCTCCTCCATCAGAATTTTCATAGTTCTTTGCTCATATTCATAGCCTTCTGTAGCATAGCTGTATTTGTATGTGTATTTGTTCTTAGACTGGGAAAAAAATCTTAAAGTAAAAAATTGTCCTATTACTCACCTTTATTTCCTACACTGCATGCTGCCTTACATGTGGTAAGTACTCAGGACATATTTTGATCAGTTGTAATTAACGTTAGGAAGTTTCTTTTCAAAATCCTGTAAATACCTTCCTGAAGATTTTCTGTCTTCCTTTTGAACACTACTGTACATACTGAAATACTCATTGTTTGTCCTGGGTTCTATATATGGAAAGAAGAACATTGTGTTGTAAATGTTTTTTTTTTTTTTTTTTTTGTATTGTAAATTTTTTTTTAAACTTTCTACACTATAATTTGGGTTCATACATAATGATGGCATTATGTTTATTTTATTATTAGCAGTTTGCTGGATGAAAGTAAATTATTCAGCTTTGCTATACTTGTACAGTATTATATTTTGCTCTGCTAAATGTTAAGTAACTTATTATGATTTTCTTTCTTAGTTTTAAAACAGTTTACAAGAGAATAAGGACTATAAATATTATTTCAAACATACAGTTTACCAAAGCTTTTTTTTTTCTTTTGAGACAAGGTTTTTTGTTGTTGTTTTTTGAGACAGGGTCTTGCTCTCTCGCCCATGCTGGAGTGCAGTGGCACAATTGCAGCTCACTGCAACCTCTGCTTCCCAGGCTCAAGCAATTCTCATGCCTCAGCCTTGCGATTAGCTGGGATTACAGGTGTGTACCACCACACCTGGCTAATTGTTATATTTTTAGTAGAAATAGGGTTTTGCCATGTTGGCCAGAGTGGTCTTGAACTCAGGCTCAAGTGATCCACCCGCTTTGGCCTCATAAAGTGTGGGATTACTGGCATGGGCGATGTTGCCCAGCGTATTTACCAAATTTGTATTGAAAACCTTCTTTTTTAAAAAATTAGAACACAATGTCACTGTGAGTCATAAACAGAAAGTCAAGCTTTAGAATGTGAAGCTTGCAAAATTGTTTTCCTCTGTTCTCTTTATCAAAAAAGGAATTAAAACATTTTCTCATTTGGAAACAGCTGTTTTTTTTTTTTTAAAATCAAACTGGGAATAGGCTCTGTCCTTCCTTCCTTCCCTCCTTCCTTCCTTCTGCCCTTCCTTCTGTCCTTCCGTCCTGCTATGTTGCCCAGGCTGGATTGAATTCCTGGGATCAAACAGTCCTCCCTCTTCAGACTCCCAAGTAGCTGCACTAGTGGTATGCACTACATAAATGCTTTGATTTTGTTTCAGAAACCAAAGTACTTTGCATGCTCATATAGTGTGGTATGCACAGTGCAACTACTTGGGACAGTTTATTATCAGCTGGAATCTGAATTTTAAGATTATTTTTGGAAAAATATCATTTGAAAGTTGCCAGGTAGGAGTAGAGGATAGTAATATTTGGGCTCACCCAATTTTGAGTGTATTTAATTAAATCAAAATCCTATTAATGATTCTTCTTTACTTTGAAGCTATTCCAGCATTAAAAAATGATCATTGTAAAAATACTAAAGTCCTTTTAAATGTATAAGACACATGGTAGTTTTGCTTATAAAGATTATAGGTGATCATAATTCACTTTTTTGAGTACCTTTTATCTGGAGTGAGAGAGAAGCCAATATTTCACAGTGGAATATTGATCCACTTTTACTTTTGGTTGAACCAAGGAATTGTCTGTGAAGAATATAACAGCACTTTATTAACATAAGGAGATTATTTTTGTATTTCCGTGCAAAGCAAGCATTGTGTATGTAGAGTGTATTTGATGGGATTGCAGAGAAAATTAGGAAACTATACATTTTATTACATTTTAAATTCTATACACAGTGAACTACATAAATGCTTTGATTTTGTTTCAGAAGCCAAAGTAATTTGCATGCTCAAATAGTTTCTTATATAAGTTGAAATAAAATTGTTAATCAGTGTATAGCTTTCTTAGAATACATTTTTTGAGATCTGTTGTATTCTATGAAAAATGACTGTTGAACTATAAAACCTGATTAAAGTGAATATGTGTACTGATCTTAAAGAAGTGAAGAGAGCGTTCTTGGATCTTGAGCAAGAAAGAATTCAGGGCAAGTCCACTAGGTGAAAGCAAGTTTATTAAGAAAGTAAAGGAATAAAGAATGGTAATTCCATAGGCAGACCAGCCCCGAGGCCTGCTGGTTGTGCATTTTTGTGGTTATTTCTTGATTATATGCTAAACAAGGGGTGGATTATTCATGCCTCCCATTTTTTACACCATATAGGGTAACTTCCTGACGTTGCCAGTGGCATTTTTAAACTATTTTGATGCTGGTAGAATGTAGCAGCAAGGATGACCAGAGATCACCTTCGTCACTGTCTTGGTTTCGGTGGGTTTTGGCCAGCTTCTTTACTGCGGCCTGTTCCATCAGCAAGGTCTTTGTGACCTGTATCTTGTGCCAACCTCCTACCTCCTTCTGTGACTTAGAATGCCTTAACCATCTGGGAATATAGCTCAGTAGATCTCAGCTTCATTTTACCCAGACCCTATTCAAGATGGAGTTGCTCAGATTCAAACACTTTTGACAGAAGAACCTTCCCATGTTTGAAAAAATATTGAGATGTGGTTTTGATATAAACACTAATATTGGCAAATGGATCCATTGTGATTTTATCATGCTACTATCCTTATCCTAGACATTGTTTTTATGTCAACAGTAGTGCAATGCTGTTTCATGAGTTCCCAGTGAAGTTATATGACTGTTCACATGGGTCAGCTTTCACTGATTATAAACAAGCATAAAGTCATACATCAGTAAATTTGTATAACTTTGGAAAGGTGAATACAGATTTTAAGGTGTGAGAACACTCTGACGCATCATACAGTACTAATTGGGTAGTTGAGTCTTATTTATAATATCAAATTTGCACATAGGTTTTGGTTAGGTAACTGGATTTAAGTTAACATACAGGAATCAGTAAGCTTGATATATGCAAATAGCTTCCAGTTTGAAGACATAAAAGTGAATGGCCCATTTAAAATAGCAATTAAGGACAGGCACGGTGGCTCAGGCTTGTAATCCTAGCACTTTGGGAGGCTGAGGTGGGGGAATCATGAGGTCAGGTGTTCGAGACCAGCCTGGCTAACATGGTGAAATCTTGTCTCTACTGAAAATACAAAAAAATTAGCTGGGCATGGTGGTGCATGCCTATAGTCCCAGCTGCTCAGGAGGCTGAGGTAGGAGATTCACTTGAACCCGGGAGGCAGAGTTTGTGGTGAGCTGAGACCTTGCCACTGCACTCTAGCCTGGGCAACAGAGCAAAATTCTGTCTCAAAAAAATAAAATAATATAAAATAGAAATTAAAATGACAAAGTGGGCCCAGCACGGTGGCTCACACCTGTAATCCCAGCACTTTGGGAGGCCGAGGTGGGTGGATCACGAGATTAGGAGATCAAGACCATCCTGGCCAACATGGTGAAACCCCATGTTTACTAAAAATACAAAAAATTAGCAGGTGTGGTGGCACACGCCTGTAGTCCCAGATACTCAGTAGGCTAAGGCAGGGGAATCGCTTGAACCCAGGAGGTGGAGGTTGCAGTAAGCCAAGATGGTGCTACTGCACTCCAGCCTGACTTCTCAAAAAAACAAAACAAAACAAAAAAAAAGAGACAAATTGCCAATTCATACAATTAACAAAATCTGTAAGTTTAGAACTTTAAAAGTCTTCTTAAGGGACATGAAAACATACCTCAACAAATGGAAAGGCAAAACATATTCTGTGCCAGTACTCAATGTTGTAAAATTGTCCAAAGTGCTTTGTGAAATAATGCTATCACAGAAACAGTGTTATCCTTATTTTTGTGTGTGGGGGGTGAGGTTAGTGTCTAGAACTAGATAGTGAATTCTAAAGTTCAAATGGAAAAAAATTAGCAATGATTGGTTGTAAAGCTGAAAAAGAAGGGTAGTGAGGATAAGTAGTCCTATCACATTTGAAAATTGCAATACTGCACAGTCTCAATATTTAAGAAGTATGTTATTGACACATAAATAGGCAATAGACTAATGGAACAAAATAAAGGATCAGAAATACATCCAAATACGTGCAGGAATTTGGTTTATGATTAAGGCATCATCTTAAATGTTGCTGGGATAATTGGATAGCCATGTGGACGAAAGATTAATTTGGACTCATATTGTTATTACTTACTATTATTATTATTTTAGAGATGGAGTCTCACTGTTTTATCCAGGCTGGTTTCAAACTCCTGGGCTCAAGCATGAACCACTGTGCCCGGCCTTAATTTGGATTCGTCTCTTACAGTGTACACCAGGATGAAACCAAGTATATCAAACATTTGAATGTAAAAATATAAAACTATAACATTACAAAATAAAAAATGAGGGAGTTCCTATGTATCTGTGGAGTGGAAAAGGTATTTCTAGGCTGAGTGTGGTGGGTCACCTGTAAACTCAGCACTTTGGGAGGCCAGGGTGGGTGAATCACTTGAGGCCAGGTGTTTGAGACCAGTCTGGCCAACATAGGAAGGCCTTGTCTCTACAAAATCACAAAAATTAGCTGGACGTGGTGGTGAGTGCCTGTAGTCCCAGCTACTGGGAGGCTGAGGCAGAAGAATCGCTTGAGTGCAGGAAGTGGAGGTTGTAGTGAGCCAGGATCACATCACTGCACTCTAGCCTGCGTGACAAAACAAGACCCTGTCTCAGAAACAAACAAAAAAGGACAAACATGAACATTCTTCTACGTAACATGAACATTCTTCTGTGTAACCACAATACAGCAAAAATTCAGAAAATTATTTATATATTATAACCAAATAATCCTCAGATCCCATTAAAAATTGGCAAGTCGTCCAAATAACATCCTATAGAACCAAAGGATTCAGTTGAGAATCTTGTATTGCATTTATTTGTTGTATCTCTTTAGAGATAGGTTCCTTGCATGCGCATTCACAATAGTATTCGAGCTCCTGTGAGAATCTAATCCTGAGGTGGATGTGACAGGAGGTGGAACTCAGGTGATATTGCTCACTTGCCCGCCACTCACCTCCTGCCATGTGGCCTTGTTCCTAACAAGCCATGGACTGGTACTGGTCTGCAGCCACACCCTGGCATAGAACACGTAGTACTTAACTATTTTTGTTGTCTGATGAAATGGTGGTTTGTGATAGTGGATAAGTCAAGCCAACTGGGTTTTGTCTGTAAGTAGATAACAGATTTACTAGCTCTTGAAACCTTGGTGAAGTTACCTAACCTGTTTGAGCTTCACATTTCTCATCTGTAAAATAGGATCAATAATATCTACCATGCTTCATATTAGAGAAAATGTACAATAAAGCCTGGCATTTTGTTGGTGATCAATAAATAATAAGGTTATTAAGATGTGGCCAAGGATACCAGTAGTAAAAATACCCATATTTTTATCAAGTGTTGAAACATACATGGAAATATCTGGTGAAGTCTCTGACTTCAGTTATGTCAGCCCCTCATTTTAACTGTTTTCTAATAACAGTTATAACTAGGTCGAATGCAGTGGCTCACACCTGTAATCCCAGCACTTCGGGAGACCAAGGTGGGAGGATCACTTGAGCCCAGGAGTTGGAGACCAGCTTAGGCAACCTAATGAGACCTTATCTCTACAAAAAGTAAAATTAACTGGATAGGGTGGCACACACTTGTAGTCTCGGCTCTGTAGAGGTAGTTAGAATATTATAACTATTATATATAATATTACATATGTATGTATATAAAATACACAGACACACACACACACACACACGTTCCCTTAAGTGTTGTTAGGTAGGATTTTTCTTCCCATTAAACAAATAACAAATTAAGGTTTAGAGAGGTCAATTAACTTGCTCAAGGATCCAGGTTTTGAACTCATATCTAGTTCTAAAGCTCTTATTCTTATTACATTAACTTTCTTTGTTAGAGATGATTTGGAGACTACTAAATGTAATTTTTAATGATGCCTTTGGTGATGTTGGTGACTATAGACCAATCAATCTTCAATAAATGATTTTATTCAGATTGTTTCTTCTAAAACCCTACCTGAGGTCTGTTAAATGGAAGACTGGACATACTGGTAACTGTGATAAAGCACTGAAATACTTTGAGGAATATCACAGATGTTGGTGGATTGTAACTTTGGTAGTTGTGAACAGTGAAAGACATGGAGAAGTTGTTGGGGAGGAGAAAGAGAAAAGGGAATTAAAAAAAAAATACATTTTTCTTCCACACTAGACTGCACAGTCATCTGGTGCTAGGTTCATTCTTTTATTAAAAATTTATTCATTACATGAATATATTCTCATTTCAAAAGATTAAACATATATATTTGTGTGTGGTTAGATCTAAAATTCTCACTTGCATCTCACCTTTCATCCCTGCGTTTCTACCCAGAAAAATAGATAATTTTTAATAACCGTGTTACTTATGTTAAATTGGGTTTATTGTTATATTTAAAGGAATGAATAAGTATTTTTAAATGGTTTTAGTTTTAATTTCTAATTAAAATATGGGAAAATATTGATAGATATAACCCGTGTACACAAAAGGCTCTTGGGATCCTTGATAATTTGTAAGAACATTAAAGGTTGTTTGTTTGCTTTTTTTTGAGGGGAGGGTTGTTTGTTTGTTTTGAGACAGAATCTTACTCTCACCCAGGGGGAAGTGCAGTGGTACAATCTCAACTCACTGCAACCTTCGCCTCCCAGGTTCAAAAGATTCTTGTGCCTCAGCCTCCCCAGTGGCTGGGATTACAGGCATGCGCCACCATGCCTGGCTAATTTTTGTCTTTTTAGTAGAGACAGGGTTTCTCCATGTTGGTCAGGCTGGTCTTGAACTCCTGGCCTCAAGTGATCTGACTGCTTCAGCCTCCCAAAGTGCTGGGATTACAGTTGTGAGCCACCATGCCTGATCCATAAAAGGATGTTGAGAGCAAATAATTTGAAAAACTACTGCAATATATTGTTACATCAGTATTAATGAATATCGTATAGGCCCTGGTAACCTGGAAAAGTCTCAGGATGTAATAATGTTAGCCAGAGAAGTGCATTACACACTGCACAAATTTTATTACAGTTATGAGACAAAGAATAGAAAATAGTATTGGAGAAAATATAGTAAAATGCAAACAGTTATATTAAGGTTGTATTATTTTGAGTTATTTTATCCTTGGTTTTTCCAAAGGTTTTTGCACCATGATGAAATTTGTGTATGGTTAAAAATCTGAGGGCCGGGCACGGTGGCTCACGCCTGTAATCCCAGCACTTTGGGAGGACAAGGCGGGTGGATCACGAGGTCAAGAGATCGAGATCATCCTGGTCAACATGGTGAAACCCCGTCTCTACTAAAAATACAAAAAATTAGCTGGGCATGGTGGCGTGTGCCTGTAATCCCAGCTACTCAGGAGGCTGAGGCAGGTGAATTGCCTGAACCCAGGAGGTGGAGGTTGTGGTGAGCCAAGATCACGCCATTGCACTCCAGCCTGGGTAACAAGAGCGAAACTCCATCTCAAAAAAAAAAAAAAAATCTGTTAAAATATGAGTGGAAATATTATCTGTATTTCAGAAACTCTGCAGTGATGCTCAAGTTAAAGTCTTTGGGAAATGCTGCCAACTGAAACCTGGAGGAGACAGTTCTTCCTCTTTAGATAGTTCTGTGACTTCATCTTCTGATATAAAAGATCAGTGTCTTAAGTACCAGGTAAGATCATTGATGTCATTTAGTTATTCATTCATTTATAAATATTTTTGAACATCATCCAGCAGACTGTGGGGATATAAATAGCTGTTAGTCCTTATCTTCCTAGAGGTTGCATTGAAGCTGGAGAGACAGATAAACAAGTAAGTTTATGAACTTTGATAAATCTTAAAAATAGGAGTAGAGAGCCATAGGTATAGGTTGCATGAGTATTTTATATTTCCCAATTCAGACTTACTGGTTTATCAGAATAATTTCTTATTTTATATACTTTTTCTGAAATATGAAGATAAATATAAAATACTAATGCCATTTCAGTTGTAGTATGAGATTAAAGTATGATTAGAAGTATACATAATGCACAAGTTTATTTTTCAAAAATAATGTGACTTGTAAAATACAGAATTTAAACATATTAGTAAGTATATATAGGAACTTCTCTCTAAATGTGTTACATTTTGGCCGGGCGCGGTGGCTCAAGCCTGTAATCCCAGCACTTTGGGAGGCCAAGGCGGGTGGATCACGAGGTCAAGAGATCGAGACCATCCTGGTCAACATGGTGAAACCCCGTCTCTACCAAAAATACAAAAAATTAGCTGGACATGGTGGCGCGTGCCTGTAATCCCGGCTACTCAGGAGGCTGAGGCAGGAGAATTGCCTGAACCCAGGAGGCGGAGGTTGCAGTGAGCCGAGATCGCGCCATTGCACTCCAGCCTGGGTAACATGAGTGAAACTCCATCTCAAAAAAAAAAAAAAAAAAAAAAAAAAAAAAAAAAAAAAAAAATGTGTTACATTTTATATAAAATCAGTGTTTGGTCTCATGCTCAACAAATGTCATCTGATGTAAATTTATTTGTGTCATCCAAGTTTGCATGAATCACAAGTATTTTATATTTACACAGTACCAAAATAGAATCTTGGCTTTTAATTATTGGTAATGAGATGATTGTATTTTGATGGAAGTTGATCTTTATACCTAATCAATGGGACCAGTTATGTGAAAGGAGTCTGAAATTACTAAATCCCAAATGGATTTACTGCATAGTTCCCCCTGCCTTCTTCTATTTCACTTCCTCTTTAGGCACAATACCTTAACAAATCCATAATAGTTCTGTGCCATACTACACCATCATGACTTGTGCCAGTTTGCACAACTTGGAAAGTTTCCTCATTTTTTAAAAATTAGCCATGTGTGCTGGGCGCAGTGGCTCACACCTATAATCCGAACACTTTGGGAGGCTGAGGAGGGCAGATCACCTGAGGTCGGAAGTTCAAGACCAGCCTGACCAACATGGAGAAACCCCATCTCCACTAAAAAGACAAAAATTAGCCAGGCGTGGTGGTTCACACCTATGATTTCAGCTACTTGGGAGCAGGAGAATCACTTGAACCTGGGAGGTGGAGGTTGTAGTGAGCCAAGATTGTGCCATTGCACTCTAGCCTGAGCAACAACAGTGAAACTCTGTCTCAAAAAGAAAAAAAATTAGCCATGTATGTTGGTGTGAGCCTGTAGTCCCAGCTACCTAGAAGGCTGAGGTGGGAGGATTGCTTAAGCCCATAAGTTCTAGGATGCAGTGAGTTATGATCATGCCATTGCACCCCACCCTGGGTGACAGAGTGAGACCCTGTCTCAAAAAAAAATTGTCTATATAGAGTGGTTGGTAAGATGGCCAAATAGGAACAGCTCCAGTCTGCAGCTCCCAGTGAGATCAATACTGAAGGTGGGTGATTTCTCCATTTCCAACTGAGTATAAACAAAGCTGTCTGGAAGTTTGAACTGGGTGGAGGCTACCTCAGCTCAGCAAAGCTGCTGTAGCCAGATTGACTCCCTAGATTCCTCCTGTCTGGGCAGGGCATCTCTGAAAGAAAGGCAGCAGCCTCAATCAGGGACTTAATAGATAAAACTCCCATCTCCCTGGGACAGAGCACCTTGGGGAAGGGGCGGCTATGGGTGCAGCTTCAGCAGACTTAAATGTTCCTGCCTGCCAGCTCTGAAGACAGCAGCAGATCTCCCAGCACAGCACTTGAACTCTGGTAAGGAACAGACTGCCTTCTCAAATGGGCGCCTGACCCCTGTGCCTCCTGACTGGGAGACATCTCCCAGCAAGGGTCCATAAACATCTCATATAGGAGAGCTCTGATTGTCATCTGGCGGATGCCCTTCTGGGACGAAGCTTCCAGAGGAAGGAACAGGCAGCAGGCTTTGCTGTTCTACAGCCTCTGCTGGTGATACCCAGGCAAACAGGATCTGGAGTGAACCTTCAGCAAACTCCAGCAGACCTATAGCAGTGGGACCTGACTGTTAGAAGGAAAACTAATAAACAGAAAGGAATAGAGTCAAAATCAACAAAAAGGACGTACACAAAAATCCCATCCGAAGGTCACCAGCATCGAAGGCCAAAGGTAGATAAATCCACGAAGATGAGAAAAAACCAGCATAAAAAGACTGAAAATTCTGAAAATTCCAAAAACTAGAATGCCTCTTCTTCTCCAAAGGATCACAACTTCTCGCCAGCAACAGAACAAAACTGGATGGAGAATGAGTTTGATGAAATGATAGAAGTGGGGTTCAGAAGGTGGTTAATAATAAACAACTCTGAGCTAAAGGAATATGTTCTAACTCAATGCAAGGAAGCTAAGAACCTTGAAAAAAGGTTAGAGGAATTGCTAACTAGAATAACCAGTTTAGAGAAGAACATAAGTAACTTGATGGAGCTGAAAAGCACAGCAGGAGAACTTTGTGAAGCATACTTATGTATCAATAGCTGAATCAAACAAGTGGAAGAAAGGATATCAGAAACTGAAGATCAACTTAATGAAATAAAGCATGAAGACAAGGTTAGAGAGAAAAGAATGAAAAGGAACGAACAAAGCTTCCAAGAAATATAGAACTATGTAAAAAGACTAAACATATGTTTGATTGATATACCTGAAAGTGACAGGGAGAGTGGAACCAAGTTGGAAAACACTCTTCAGTAAATTATTCAGGAAAACTTCCCCAGCCTAGCAAGACAGGCCAGCATTCAGTTTCAGGAGATACAGAGAACACCACAAAGATACTCCTCAAGAAGAGCAACCCTAAGACACATAATCGTCAGATTCAGCAAGGTTGAAATAAAGGAAAACATGTTAAGGGCAGCCAGAGAGAAAGGATGGTTTACTCACAAAGGGAATTCCATCAGACTAACAGTGGATCTCTCTGCAGAAACTCTACAGGCCACAGGAGAGTTGAGGCTAATATTCAATATTCATAAAGAAAATAATTTTCAACCCAGAATTTTATATCCAGCCAAACTAAGCTTCATAAACAAAGGAGAAATAAAATCCTTTACAGACAAGCAAATACTGAGAGATTTTGTCACCACCAGGCCTGTCTTACAATAGCTCCTGAAGGAAGCACTAAATATAGAAAGGAAAAACTGGTACCAGCCACTGCAAAAACATACCAAATTGTAAAGACCGTCTACACTATGAAGAAACTGCATCAACTAATGGGCAGAATAACCAGGTAGCATTGTAATGACAGGATCAAATTCATACATAACAATGTTAACCTTAACGTAAATGAGCTAAATACCCCAATGAAAAGACACAGACTGGCAAATTGGTTAAAGAGTCAAGACCCATCGGTGTGCTGTATTCAGGAGATCCATCTCACATGCAATGACACACATAGACTCAAGATAAAGGGATGGAGGAATATTCACCAAGCAAATAGAAAGAAAAAAAAAAGGGGTTGCAAAACTAGTCTCTGATAAAACAGACTTTAAACTAACAAATATCAAAAAAGACAAGGGAGGGCATTACATAATGGTAAAGGGGTCAATGCAACAAGAAGAGCTAACTATGCTAAATATATATGCACCCAATACAGGAGCACCCAGATACATAAAGCAAGTTCTCAGAGACCTGCAAAGAGACCTAGTCTCCCACACAATAATAGTGGGAGACTTTAATACCCCACTGTCAATATTAGGCAGATCAATAAGAGAAAATTAACAAGGGTATTCAGGACTTCAACTCAGCCCTGGACCAAGTGGACCTAATAGACATCTACAGAACTCTCCACCCCAAATCAACAGAATATACATTCTTCTCAGCACCACATCACACTCATTCTAAAACTGACCACAAAATTGTAAGTAAAACTCTCCTCAACAAATGCAAAAGAACGGAAATCATAACAGACAGCCTCTCAGACCACAGTGCAATCAAATTAGAACTCAGGAGTAAGAAACTCATTCAAAACCACACAACTACATGGAAACTGAACAACCTGTTCCTGAATTACTACTGGGTTAATAAAGAAATTAAGGCAGAAATCAAAAAGTTATTTGAAACCAAAGACAGTGTACCAGAATCTCTAGGACACAGCTAAAGCAATGTTTCAAGGGAAATTTATAGCATTAAATGCCCACAAAAGAAAGCAGGAGAGATCTAAAATTGACACCCTAACACCACAGTTAAAAGAACTAGAGAAGCAAGAGCAAACAAATTCAAAAGCTAGCAGAAGACAAGAAATAACTAAGATCAGAGCAGAACTGAAAGAGATAAAGACACGAAAAACTCTTCAAAAAAATCAGTGAACCTAGGAGCTAGATATTTGAAAAGATTAACACTGCTAGCCAGACTAATAAAGAGGAAAAGAGAGAGGGATCAAATAGACACACAAAAAATGATAAAGGGAATATCATCACTGATCCCACAGAAATACAAACTACCATCAGAGCATATTATAAATGCCTCTATGCAAATAAACTGGAAAATCTAGAAGAAATGGATAAATTCCTAGACACATAAACCCTCCCAAGACTAAACCAGAAAGCAGTCGAAACCCTGAATAGACAAATAACAAGTTCTGAAATTGAGACAGTAATCAATATCCTACCAATCAAGAAAAGCCCAGGACCAAACGGATTTGCAGCCACATTCTACCAGAAGTACGAAGAGGATCTGGTATTGTTCTTTCTGAAACTATTCCAAACAATCGAAATAAGAGGTAC